TGGATTTAGGGTTAGGATTTGATTAGGATTTGATTAAGATTTGATTTAGGATTTAGAGTTTATTTAGGTTTTGATTTAGGATTTAGGATTTGATTAGGGTTTGATTTAAGATTTGGTTAGGATTTGATTTAGAATTTTGTTAGGATTTGATTTAGGATTTAGGATTTTACTAGGATTTGTTTAAGATTTAAGATTTAGTTAGTTTTTGATCTAAAGTTTGAATGAAGTCCAATATGATTTTAACTAGGATTAAATTAAGATTGAATTGAGATGTATTTGACATATATTTGTAATTATTTTAATATTTTTTTTAAAATTTCTTATTGTTTCTTTGTAATTCTTTTGAGGTTTCTTTGAATTTGATTAAAGATTTTTTAGCATTGTTATGGTCTAATTAGAATTTAGTTAATATTCTATTAGAGTTAAGATTTTTTTGTTATAATTTCTATTCTACCTTCCACAACCAGGTATCCGAAGCATTTTCAAGCAAGACTTCACGTATTACAACATCGTTCCTAGGAGGAGAATAGTGTCATACAAATACATATTTATTCCAATAATTATTTATATGATTAAATAAAAGTAGATAAAAGTAGACCAATTTCGTAGTGACTTTTAAAAAAGCTTTTTAGAAGCTTTGTAGATGTGATTTTGACTTTACACTTGTTTGTAGTTGATTGATAGATTAGAAATTTGGTCAATAAGTTAACCACATATTATATGTCTTGATAGCTTGTGAAACAAGCTAACTAAATGGCACACTTATAGTAAACTTTTCTTACAAGTTAAGATATATTTTGTAAAATCAACATGTATTGAAGGTCCTATAGAACATTGCAATATAGCTTCTAATTAGATAGTATATATAAATGCAAGATAGAAGCCTTCTTCACTCTTGTCAATGCCTTTTTAATATTTAGTCTTATTTCAAGACTTTCTAGTCTTCTCATCCTTCATAATAGCCATTCTAGTTCAATATATTACTATCTTTGAGTGATTTTTTAGTCTTTTTAAGTGACACAAGAGTGTATTAAGACTTTCTTTCTTTGAAATTCATATCCTTGATACAACATTGCATTAAAAGCATGGTCTATATATTTTTCTTTATAAAAAAATAGCTTAAAAAAGTCAATTAAATATATAAAAATTATTAAAATAAAAATTATCTTCAAAGCTTTAAATGCTACTTTAATTTTTTTGTTCTATCAATTTTTTTCTTTAAAAATAAAATTAATAATAGTTAATAAATTCAAATAACATTAGATGTCTCTTATTTTTCTTTAAAAATTTCAATCTATAATAATCTGAATTTTTTTAGGATCCATCATAAGGCCATTATTTGAAACAATATATCTTAAAAGATTAACTTGAGTTGTATAAAATACATAATTTTTTAACTTATGATATAATCTTACACCTCTAACTTTTTATAGTATAAATTAAACTTGATATTTATATTTTTTTCTATTCTTAAAACAAAATAAAATTTTATTTAGATAACAAAGAATAAAATCATCTAAAAAACTCTTTAAAAAAAGAATTTATTAGGTGCTAAAAAGTAATTGGATTATTTGTAAGTCCTAAAGGCTTGATATTATATTTAAAATGTCTATACTTAGTTCAAAATGCAATCCTTCATTTATCTCCATCTTTTATATATATATTAGATTGTATGTACCTTATACATCTATTTTGGTGTAGATCTATTTTGGTTTAGATCTTACGTTAATTTAATAGATTAAGAAGTATTAGTATCAAATGTAAAGAATATGTATTATCAATAGAAATCTTATTAAGTCCTTAATAATCCATACACATCTGTGGGATTTTGTTGTTTTTCTTCAAAAATAAGATATGAGCTCTTTATAGAGATTTTAAACTAGAATATGAAATTCTAAGCCAAACTCTTATAAATATATTATTTAAATGAAGAAAATTTATTTTTTAATGAATTATTCATAAATCCAAATAGTTGTTAAATTCTTTCTTAAAATTCAATTAAATAATCATAAAACAATGCTTTAAAAAATATTTAATTTTTTTCAAATATATCTTAATAATTCTTATATTAGATTTAAATATTTCTCAAAGTCTTTATATTATCAAAAATAGATGTCTTATTTTTTAATAAATAAATTTTTTATTTTATAATATATATAAAATATTTTTCATGAAACAAATAAAATTTTTATTATATTAGGTTTATGAATTACTTTTTAATTAACAAATTTTTTAGCTATATTATAGAAAAAAATAAAATTATAAGAAATTTAATCTATGAAAAAATTATACTTCTTTAGCCATGACAAATCTATAATAATTGAGTTAAAAAAAAGATCTAATAATATTAAATATCACTAATTTATTATGATCATTTATTGTTATATCTATAAAATGGCTTTATAGTTAAATATCCATGAGATAAAAGCTAACCATCTATGACTTTTGCATGCATAAGCTTAGTTTTCTTTACTAAAGATATGCTATGTCTTTTAACAAAGTCTTCATCTAAAAAACAAATTGACATTGTTTAATCTAATAAAGCAAATTCTTTGTGTTTTTTAGGTTCTAAATAAATATATATTATAAAATAAAGAGATGATTTTGAAGAGAGAATAGAATTTTTACTAAATATTGTAAAAAAATACAACTACACAACTTATTTTGTAATTGGATAATCTTATTTTTTGACACATTATTTTCTTTGACAACCATACTCTTCATTTTGTGGTTATATTAATTATTTGGATAATGTTGAAAAATGTGCTTAGATTCTTTATAATAAGAATAAAATCCTTTTTAATAATATTAAGTTTTTTTTTGTTATATGAAAGATTTAAAATATAGTGCATTAATTTGCATGTCTTTTACTTCCAAATATAAAGATATTGAGGCATACTTGTTTGGCTTTAAAATTGAAACTTAAAAATTTGATTGTTACACTTCAGAGCAAAATCAATTGCTTAATTTAATAATTAAGGCTTTCGTAAGTTAAGCATCAATTTCTTTACCTCATATTGAAATCCACAAAAAAATTGGCTGATAAGTGCAACATCATCTTACTTAATATTAGGTGTAAATTGTCAAAATTATAAAAAAAATATAATAATACTAAACTATTATCTTCATGCAAAATAAAAATCTTATTTATTGCAATACAAATTGCATCATATTTTTTGATACAAAAAAATAAAATTCTACCAAAAAAAACCTCTAAATTATTTAAAATTAGATTATATTATTCAAAAAAAGCTATTAATCATGATAATTAAAAAAAAAAAAAAAAAAAAAAAAAAAAAACCTAAAAATAATATTTTAATAAACTTAACTTATGATATAGAAGTTGAATAACTTTGAGGTTAGAGTTCAATGACTAGTTGTATTTAATTAATAAAACTCTATAATTTTAAATTAGTATCATCAAACTTTTTCATATAATTCCTAGTTCTTTAATACTTATAGTTAGGCTTCAATAGTGTTTGATTATATGAGAAATAATATGAATTAGTGTAAATATTGAGATAGCTCCAACCATCTTTTCATCTTTACTTTCAATCAATATTATTATGATTGTGAATTAAATTTATGCATTGCAAGCACTAAATTCTTTATTTGCTTCAGCATTTATACTATTACATCCTTTATTTTAAGAAGCTTTGCTATAATAATGCAATAGAAGAAAAAGATGTCTAATTTTATTTTAAATAAGTTGTAGAAAATGGTCAAATATAAAAACAAATTCTATAAAGAATATGAATTTAAAAGTAGACAATGTACAATTTCTAATATACTCAAATCTTATTAAAAAAAAATAGGAATCCACTCTTGATAAATAAAGACAAAGCTTTGATATTATAAGTGTACTCTTGTCAATTTTTTTAGCATAAAAATTTGAAGAATGTAAATAAAGAAAATAAGATATATATCAAAGAGAAATGACATAATATATATATATATATTTAAGAAGAAATTGAAATAATTATTACCAAAGATAAAAAAGACTTAACATTCTTAAAAAGAAATTGAAATAATTATTACCAAAGATAAAAAAGACTTGACATTCTTAAAACTAAACTAGAAGCAAGAAAGGCATTGAAAAGAATAAGAAATGACTCATTCTTATTTCCATACATACTATTTAATTAAAGAGCTATGTGACAACATTTTATACATCATCCAACATGTGTATAACTTGCAAGAAGTTTCCAATATGTGCATCATATAATCAACTCATACCATAAGTAACCAACATGTACAACATGTGGCCAACTTATTAGCAACATTTTAACCTAGCAATTACCTACAAATAATTATAAAATCGATCAAAATTGCTAAAACTAGTGTTTATAAATATCTTGTATTTTTTTTATTATTATTATTACAAGAACTTCAAGGTAAATTAAAACCCTTCCATAGCTAGATGCCCAATGCATTTTTAAGCTGAATTTTACATAACCACCACCTTAGTTTATAGTAGAAAGACCAAAAATCTCCCTCAAGTTGTATTATGTAAATCAAAATCTTCTCCAAATTCCTTATTTGTTTGCTCTAATACATGTACTCCATCTATCTTTATGTGTGATGTGTTAGTGCATCTCCACTCCTACATTCTTTATTAGTATATTATAATTTACCATCACTTCCAGACCTAGTGATAGCTATTGTAAAATTAACTTATTATGTGTTTGTGGTGAGTATACTACTTATGTATACACAAAGCATAGTAGTGCACTTTTACAGTGAATAGTGATTTTAGTAAGAAAATTTGGCAAGCTGACTTGACCGGTGGCGCTAAAGCTTCTATTTGTGCAAGCACCTATCTTTCGGTGCTTACACCACGTACCATCTGCGGAAAATCCAGCACCTGAATTGGTTTGCCTCATCTAATCTTGTTTGACGCTGTTCAATTTATCTAGTTCGTCTGAGAGAAACGAACCTAGAGTCGAGGCAGGTCCATACTTCAGGGCTACCCAGCCTCAAGCAAGAACCAGACACCCAACTTCAAAATAACGTCTGGAGAGAAACACTATGTAGATATGAACCCATAAATACAGAGATGTAGTATGTGGCATGCTTGCTAACTACAGTTACTACTGCTAATCCCCTCATGTTGGAATTATTATTGAGTCACTCAAGAAGTGAATTACGTAATACATTGTTGTACCATCAAGCAGTAAACTACTAACTCCTAAGATAGAGGTTGATAAAAACAACCAAAAATAATGACTCGCCTGAAGCAAATATACAATTAGGCGGAACAGATGACCATCTACTAAGCATGCACAAAAGTGCAAAAGAGCTTCACTAAGTCAAAGAGCTAGGAGTCCTGGTCAAAGTGCGTGGCTGTCTGAACGGCGGGTCCTTCAAGAAATCTTGACCCGTAATTGGGCTTATATGTTCCCCATATAATCGTGAGCACTGCATTCAACAAACAATTTCTCAGAACATATTATCATCTGAAATTAAGACTTCCTGACGGTGCTATCTCTAAATCTTGACATGTACACAATTCGTCAAATCGTTGAAAAGTACAATGTTGAGCACACATGTGAATCCAAAGACAGCCTGAGCTGACACAACCATAAGACATGAGCAACCGTCTTATCATTGGTAAGTTTGAATGACTTGTCCAAGCGCACAAATCTGCTTTGAAGTAAAAAAAATGAAATTAGAAATATAATCTAATGACATCGAGTTACCTTCCAGTTCTTCAATTTACTAGGTTCACTGCAATAACATTATCTGCCGAGAAAATATAGATGAGAAATTATTGTACCTTATAGCAAACAACTGAATCGTCAGGGAAAAGTGCAAAAAGCTTGGTGCCTATGCGAGCTCGGCAGCGACCACATGTAGTGTCGCCAGTGATACAGACTTGTCGTGATCTTTCCTCCACACGATCCACTCTTGCCTCAAGGTTGTTATGTCTACTGATATGTTTTACAATCTGCCAAATTACATCAAAACAAGCATCTTACAATCAATTACAAACTTTTATATGTATTGTACATTGACATGCACGTTTACAACTTGAATGGAAACATACGCAAACACACGAAAGTCGAGTAATACCTGGCCCTCTCGGTGTCGATGTACACGTGCACTGAGCATGCGTGATATGGTCCGAGAAGCCAAAGAAAGTGAAATTTCTGGAGATAAAGCCTTTACAGTACCAAGTATTTTAGCAAACAAATATCACCCAAACTGACTTGTTTGAAATTCCCAACTTCTGTTCCATAAACGAAACAGTCATGACCACTAAAAACAATTACCAAATCATGCATCTTAGATAGACACTTTGCATGATGCTGTAGGGCACAAACCTCCAATACTTTCAACGGGTCAAGAGATGCGCCATGGCAATGTAAAAGACGCACAGCCGCATCATGCATTGGTTCTCTACCTTCTCCAGGCTTCAAGTACATGTCCAACAATCTATAAAAGAGGAACAAGCTAAATAAGAATTCCTTTGCCTTTGTATAGAATCAAAAGGAAAGCCATTAAGAGATGCACACATGTATCAGCGAACTACATAGTAGGAGACCAAGCTGCGAGATTAAGTAAGCACTCACTGCATATAAACTTCAGGTCGGCCCAGCTCTGCACAGTAGTTCCTGGCTCCTTCACTATCCTCAAGCTTTCTGATTTGCACAAGAGAACCTTTGAGGACAGTTCTTCTACATGAATTTAGCGCCTATTTAGACGACAATACAGTAGGCTCTAAAGTGCCCATTGATCCGACAATACATTCGTCAAAGAACCACTTTCATAGTTAGAATATCGTTAACGATTTAATTCAGAAAATCGAATTTTCACACTTAAAAGTTAACTGATAAGCCAAGTTTCTCAACTGAGAGCTTGATCCGACTCCGTTGGTTACTTCTCACCGATCCAGCAAGTCATAAGACGAGATGAAATAGACCTTCGCCACTACACAGGCATAACAAACAAAATGGATTATGATCAGGAGAATACGTACAAGGCTAGAATCTGAAGAGCGGCTGTTTCGTCTCCCAACTTCTGATGTAGAGTAACCTGCGCAGCTATTTTAAAACGTTAGCTACGATTCAAATCAACACTCGAGACATACATTCTGGAACAGCATTGTGAGGAACATGGAAAAGCATGTCACTTTGTAACAAACAAAAGCTTACAATGTGATCTAAGACAAATATAAAAGGTAAACCATAAAACGGTGCACCATACACGCATTTGCTATGGACAATGTAACTTACAACTTACTGATGAAAAATACTTCCTAAACTTTCAAAAATAGGAACATGTGAAGGCATCCCTTAGAAATAAGAACTTACTTGTTCTCTCCATAAATCAGAACCCTGTATCAATGATAAAACCTCGCCAGCTTCATAATTATCCGATGCAGCCAAAAACGTCTGCAACATGCTTCTTATTACATCATGATTCAAAGACGTCCGTCTTGTAAGCGGATGCTGATCCTTTGGGGAAGATTTGTGCCCTGTAGACCTCTTCTCTTCACTGCCCAACTCTACTGGGCTTAGAGAAACAGTTTCTAGTGCTGCTTTGGCGAGAGCAAGGGCGAACTTTGTGTGATACATAGCAACATCACAGCCATTCTCCTCCACCAACCACTGTAAATATCTGGAAGACAAAGTGTAATTAGTGAATAAGTCTGCAAAATGTGATTGACAAGTGAAGAGACTCAATTGATACGAGCTGCATTACATTTACGAACAACGCCAACTGATCAAACATGTCAGAAGAAGCTCATCTACATCAACTGTTCTTCTACAAGATTGCAAAATGCTTGCGTGGATTCTAACAGCTTCCTGCCATTTCTTCGTCCTTGTTCAAATATCTTCTGATTCAACACGTAGTTCTTTGAGACATTCAATTTTTCTACAAGGAAAAGATGTGGTTTTCAAAAATTAAATCTATCTTTACCTCAGACGTAGAAGCCCATCCTCATCACTCAGTAAGGCCAGCACATCACCTGTTCGCTCACAAGCCAAACTAGAGGAAATTAATAAATGTTGCACCAACCGTCATTCACTAAACATTGATACACGAACCAAATGAGCAACAGCATCCTTTATCAAGGAACAAAGAAAAAGTTATCCATAACAATTGATTAACAAGGAAGAACCGGACATGTTCATAGCTGTGTTGCATACCAGGAGGAAGAGACTGGGATCGCTTGGCTGACGTTAACACTGAGAATGCCAATCTTTCATCTAAATGTAAGAGCTGCAGAAAAATAAAGACAGATATCTCATTCGTTCGCATATTCACAGCGACAAGTATTACACTAATCCGTGAACAACACGACCTATACTAGCCCAACTCCACAAAAACTGATCAATTCAGTACATAAAACTCCAGCAGAAGTCAAAATAACTGAACTTCATAACTTGGCGTGCAAATATAACAGAGAAAAAATGACACTTCAGTCTAATATCATACCCATTGTAAGTGTTGTAGAACAAGAGCACTGTCAGATGAGATCTCCAGCAAACGAGCTGCTTCTCCCACGGCCACCACTTGAGAATCTCCAACACGAGCATCGTGGGCCAAAGTCTGCCAGACTTGCAAGGCCAACGAAAGCATGCCTTTGGTTTCATAGAGTAGTGCTAACGGATGAAGCTGGCCAGCAGCTTCGAGAGCAGATTCAACCTCCTCCTGCATAGCCCAGGTGAGCAGCCTTTTGATCATCCACCAGCTGCAGGGTTTGTCCGCCAATGCAGCAGCTCTAAAGCAGGTTTAGCATGCTGCCCACCATCCCCGCACAGCCCAGCATGCATGGAACTTTAAGCTACGTATGCTGGGGCCACCTTCTCGATACTTTTACCTCTCTAACTTTTTTGGAATAGAAAAAAGAAAACTCGCAAATATTTTAAATCTGAGACTACGGCGATAATCTATTATATAGTAGAATAAAGCTGTGATTGCGAGAATGGTGGGTACGGCTACAAAATTGTTGAATAGAACTCGAGTCTCGTCGGCTCATCTTGGTTTTCTAAAACCTCCCAAATGAAGAAACTGCACTAGAACATGCCACATAACATATTTGAGGACATACATACCAGGACACAATTATTTGGTGAAGAGGCAAGCTGCTTCAACTCCTCCGTTTGATCCAGTTCGGCATAAAGTTTCAGAAGAAGGGTGTCAACTCCGTCTTTGACCTCGGCGTCGAGATCTCTCTCACGTACTACCTTCAAATACCTAATACGACAAAAAAAGAAGTGATGCAGGGCAATTGGAAAGACAACAAATAGCAATGGCAGTACAGCATTTGTCAACATACGGATATAAAATAAAACCAAATTACTGAGAATTTACCGAACAAAGCTCTGCATAGCAATGCCGAGGTAATGGTCTATGATGGTTGCTTTTGCAGAAGGGCCTTGTGCCAGCAAGCTCGAGACTTTTTGATCGTTTACAAGTACGAGCAGCCCACTTTGCACGGCCCATAACCCACTTTCTATTACAGTTGTCATAGGCTGCTGAGGCGGATGTAATCCCCAATACCGTTTTCGAGGTATCTACAATAGCAAATAGATAACGCTGTTAATAAGCCGAGGTTCATTGCCTGAGATGGCAAGAAATAATCAACACTTAAATATTAATTATCATGAGAGAACCAAAACTCCTGATTGATGATCTAACTTCAGTTATAAAAATAATCATCAGACTTTTCTGAAGAAATTAAACGTACCAAGGTTCGCCAACGTGTCGTAAAAGAAGGAAAGAATGGAAAGAGCTCCGTAGGTTGTAAGATGTCAGATAACAAAAAATGGTCCATCGCTAACTCAAATTGTAAGTCGAACAACAATAGAAACCCCGCTTCTGCATGAACGATTGCCAATCTTTCTTTCGCCGCACTGTCACTTCCCTCTGCGACAGCCTCTTGTGCTAAACCCACAGCTTCATTGAACTGCCGTTGCTTCAGAAGATCACGAACTTGATCATCTAATGATACTTGTTGTAAACACCACACCTGCAAACTTCGACGATCTTCATTAGCTTAATGCATCACAACTCAATATTTCGAACTTCTATATTCAACAAAAATTTCTGGCAACGAATACTACGTCAATGATCATGATGATGTAAAATTCAATCACTATTTTTCCCACCTCGTCACCCGTTAAATAACCTGCTTCAATTACAGTACTTAAAACATTCACAAGTACATACAACCTAATTTTTTATTCCTATATGCACGTTTCTAAACTCTATTTCCATACTTGAAACTGAAACATTGATGAACATCCAAACTCCTAATTCTAACATATCTTTTGACAAATTGAAGATCCTGCGTAATCCTATGAAATGAGTGGTTTCAAAGTAATACAGCCTCTCACCTTCACACCACTTGCAATGACAACAAGTGTTCCACCATCATCTTCTGCCACCAAAAACCGCCCTACCCCTGCACCTGCAAGTTCGAGTGACTGAATTTTGGCACCTGTGTTTCGATGATAGAGTTCAGTGTGACCCTGCTTCACTACAACAACATAAGGAGGAGTTTGACCAACGGCGTCCGGTACCACAGCAAAATTTAAGCTCCCCGCTGTGGGCTGTCCTTCTGCATTCACTACAATCCCAGCTTTGTCCACCGCAAGCAATACCTCAAGGTCCTTAGGAAAGAGCTTCAGTAAAGGAGGATAGGGCAAATCTGACGGTAGCGAAAAAATAGGGGTCCCTTGCCCGGAAACTAACGAAAATAACAAATATTCCTCATGTGTACCAGCGATAATGGTCTTCTCAAGCCACACCATTGTCACAATACCATCAATACCCGACACTTCCCGCAACTTTGTGGCCGACGTTGTGGTCGCATTATCCCAGCCGGTATCGAAACGCCGTAAACCCCCAAAATTCTTTTCAGCTTGGGGAGGAGAATCTACTGCTCGTACTTCATAAATCAAAATTTTCTTTCTTACGGCAACCGCTAATCTGCTAAGACCTGCGCCCTGAGTTGCAGACAGATTGCTTAAAGAGAGCTCAGATTGCGATCCCAATCGACCAAAAGGCAAAGAGAACTTCCCCATAAATCCCGTTGAACCTAGTTTTTCCTCCGAATTAGACAGCCCCGGTTCTACTTGCTTTTGAGCATCCAAATAAGAGCCCCCAAATGCCGGAGAAGGAGCAGACATTGCCTGAGCAAGAGCTGAAGCGCCTTTTGTGCCTGATAACATCTCCATTGCACCCAAGGTTTTCATATCCAGAAGACAAACCTGCCCTTCAAAGAGAATGGCAATCCGTCTAGCCTCGGGCAATGCACATAGAGCTTGAATCGGTGTTTTCCCCATAATCATCCTTCTTCTAAGCACCAATTTAGTTCCACCATCAACACTCTTAAATTCCGATTCCTGCGCAGGGTTTTCCGTTCCCCCTTGTTGAATCGGAAACCTTGTCTGAACTTCCTCACCATTATAAGACTTAATTTCCTCTTCTTTCAATTGCGCAGCAACCCCTACAGTTTGAGACCTACTAGGAAAACCTGAAACAGACGCACCTGACGACGCCACTCGCGATACACTCAATGGAGATCCCGATGCCTGATCGGCAGCGGCTTTCGAAACACCTGACGACGAGGCGGGATCAGACAATGTGAACAGCAGTAGATGACCATTATCTGTCCCCACGTACACCACCACTGTCCCGCTACTTACAAGGCGAGCCACAGCGATCGCCTGGATGCTGCAGGCCGGTATAGGCAACCCTTTCAGAGGCATCGCGTCCACCGCCACGCGCACGGCGTCACGCCCTGAGACCCCGATCGGATGCTCCGGGGAGAGCTCCATCGTAGGACCTCTCCTTCCACAATCGCCCTGTGCCAGAGGCTTGCGAGGTCCAAACCCTAATACTCTTCCAGACCTTTGAAGGAGACGATGGTTCTACATCGGAACATAGCCAACGAGCTTCTCCACGTGCTTCTATATCATCCACAATTCCATCCTCAATATACATCCGTGAATTCCGTTTCGGATTCGTCGTCCTCTACTCCATGGCCATATTTCCCAAAATTGTCACTTACCTTATTCTCCACTCCATTTCGCTGGATTCTAACACCGTGGGTCGATTTCGTTCGTGAAGAAATCAAGCCCTTGGCCACTGTCACCTCTCAATCGTTACGTTGATCAACTAAAATCATTATGCTGTGGATTATTAGAGTGGCAAGATGTTTACCAAAGGACTAGATCATGAAATTATTTCAAAGGGGTGTGATGAACTTTTCTTAGAGGCCATCGGTCGCTATATTGTCTTGGCTTTCATCATTGGTGCTTTGCTTAGTCTCGTGTAGGTCATTCTGAGATGCAGCAAATTCTCTAATCCCCTGTAGTAACAATTGTTACAGTGAGTTTGGTTATGAAAATCCAACTCACAATCAATGCCGGAGTAAGCAGTAGTTTTAAATCTTGAAAAAGCTAATCACATTTACTTGCTTTCCACTGCTAAGTGTAACACAATTGAACGTATAATGCAGTTCAACGTGGATTGCAGCATCATGGTACTCATAATAAAGAGGCGAAAGAAGATATTCGCAGCAGCCCGTTGCAAGGCCAGGATGGAACAGGTATTGGATGTGCACACGGATAAGCCTCGGTTGTTGCAAGGACTCGGATAATGAAGTCGAAATACTCGATCGGACGTTCAGACGTGTGGCCCAATAAGCCAGCACAGATCACCGTTCCTCCTCGATGCAACAAAAGGACCTGCTCAACGAATGCGGAGCACGCCATCAGCATCGTGAAAGTGAGACTATTTGCCAGTACTGACATGCGTCTCTCACCCACAATTAGCTTGCGAGACAGTCGTCACCCCTCCCATGCTTACGCCATTTCTGGATGGAGCATACCGCTACTGTTGTCGGCTTCCAGAGATGTCAATGCTGGGACGATATGGAATGCACACCACAGTTTATTCCCCATGTTTCTCCCCCATTGCAACACCATGGTAAGCTACTCGTGCACCCAACCCGCTCGTGGGCTTCTCCATGGAGACGATGGATGGGTTTGCCACCAAACTCTACTGCATCTGTCGGCCTCTTGGATCAGTTAACAACGTCACAACGCATGGCCTGACCTATGAACCCACATTCTCTAGGTTTCAGCTGCACCGAATCCAACGCGTCGTCCACAAAGGCCTGCAATACACAGAAATCTCGTCGGCAACTGCATTCGCAACAGATCCAGCTCCAATGTTCACTGGATGAGTTGACGCTTACGAATAGAAAAATGATCGTCACTAGATGCAGAGAGAAAGCAAAGTGGCATGGATGGCAGCCGGAACTGTTTAACCAGGTACAACAACGTCGTCTTCCAGTGGGATTATCGGAAACAAAAGTCTGCTGCTCCAAAGTTGTATGATATTTCGAACACCTCGGACACTAGAAAGCTGCTGTGATCCGGGAGCAGTGAAATACTCTCTGTTGGATCGATGTCCCGCCATGATTCCGGCTGCAAGTTGCTTGCAACACAGTTCTACAGAAGCAGGCTATTCCATTGTCGACATTGATGAGTGTGAGCAACATAAGATGCTGGTTTATGCAGTAATTTTAAGAAAAATATTTATTGAGTGTAGCAATGATTGCTATAAAAGTTATGGGTTCCTTATACAATTGTGCTCTAATTGTTTTCTTTTAGGTTTGATAAAAATAAACAATTTATAATAAAATTTTGAAAAAGTGAATATATTTTGTAATTAAAGGAAGTTATTTCAATCTCAATTACAGGTTTGTAAAATCTTTCTACTATTTAAATGAGATAAATTGTGTAAGGAGTGGCATATTGCATGGTACTTTGATTTAAATTATAATTTTTATGTTGTTCTAATTGACATTTGTGTATTGATTTTTTCCATCAAAGCTTTGGTTTTCTTGGCAATTGTATTTCCAATGCCTCTTGTGGTTTTTATGCCTCTTATAGTTTCAATACCTCTTATGGTTTTTTAATGTTTTGCTAAATTATTTAACTTTAACAATAGTTGTAAAGAAAAAAATAGAAAAATTAATTGATTTTAATATTGAAATATATATCTTTTCTTCTTTTATATTAGGCATAGATGAATGTTATAAATAAGTGTAAAATAAAATTGTTGATTTTAACTCTATAATTGCAAATTATTATATTACAAATAAAAAATTAGATGTCCTTATTACTATTGAATAATGTATGACACAAGCATGAATTCTAAAATCTCTTCCACAAGCTTACAATGGTTAATAGAAAATTATTGTACACATGTTTTCATTATAAAAGAAACATTTTGTAATAAGGTGTTTGTAATTTTTTAATAGGCATTTAATAATAATTTTAAATAAATAAATTTTATTTTATTTTAATTAATATAAAAAATTATTGATTAGAAATTTTTTTACATAATTATTGCAATCTGTATATATTTTTTAGAATATAATTTCTTAAAATGATTTTGGTGTGCATGTCTTCTCATTCAATTTTACTTTTTTGTTTAAATTATTTTTAATTCTAAAAATTTTAAATCATAATTTTTATTTTTTTTCAATTTTTTATAAAATTGATAAAGTATTGTTTATAAATATTTTTTTAGAAGATTTTCGGTATTTGCTACTATAGAAATAAAGATAATGTAGTAGTAGCAGTAGTACTAGTAGTGTTCACTCACCAATTCCTATATTCTCATCACCATCCTCCGCCGCATTTATTGCATTGGAACAGACGTCAAACGGTGTGAAAGAACCACGTCGCCTTAACCATGTTGACGTCACTAATGGCGACATGTCAGCACAACGCCAAAACCTAATGTCCGACGTGGACTGATGACGTGGAGGTCGGCCAGATACCGGACCCACGCCTGCCCGTGGACTTCGTGAGAACTCTCAACACCCTGCAAGTTTTCCTGATATTTCCAGCACCTCCGACTCCAGAAAAGCTGCTGTGACCCTGGGAGCATTGAAAGCTTCGATGCCGGATCGATAACCCGCCATGATCTCGACTGCAGGTTACTTGCGCAACCCACATCCACAGACAGAATACTTCCTTCTTCAATATCGTTGGTTGTGAATCAAATTTGATGCTGTCAATGATGGTCCGAACTGTGCATGACTTCTCATAGCACAACCTTGTAACCGATGCTCCATCTCGTCGTCATTTGCGGTGGTACATGGGGAAAGCAAGCTGGCCTCGAGGATCATCCGCACAGCCACTGTGCGAGCGCGAGCTGTAGATGTCCAGTTTCGACTTAGAACTTGTGCGGTGTAGCATGCTCTCTGTGTTGAAGGCAGCGTTCTCTACATGGTTTCCTGCAAGAGAGGAAGGGTATCAGAAGAGCTGCTAGCTATTCGATTTTGAGTTATGGTGTCCACAATGGAACCCAGGGGAAGAGCTAGTGGGGTTTGGTTCAGCGTTTTCGTGTCGCTGAGCTGCTGCGCTGTGGTGTTGCCGGTCGGTGGAGGACTTCTTCGAGATGTGAATCTTGCTTCGGCCAGTGTTAGTGAAGCGTATTCGCACAAGGACAGTGCGACCACGCTGTATTCTGCCGACAACTACTTGAAATGCACATCCGACCACCACATCACGCCGAGATCCACTAACGAGGTCAAGGAGCTAATCCAGCTCCATGCTTCTGGCGATCAGCCGGTGAAAATCCGCGCCACTCGTCGCGGGTTCCATAGCTCTGCCGGATTCGTCTGCTCGGGGAGTCGAGGCAGCTCCAAGAAGCAATATGCAGAGACCGATGCATCGTCTGGAAAGGAGACTGACAGCAGAGCAGCATCGTTCACTGTGCTGCTTCACCTCATGAATCGCGTCGTGGCGGTCGATGTCGAGAGGTATAGGCTGACAGTGGAGGCGGGGATGACGCTCCTCGAGCTCGTGAATGCAGCTGAAGCTCATGATATGTCGGTACCTGCGGGGGCTCTTTCAATTTACTCCAATCTGACTGTTGGGGGAGTAATAATGGCCTCGGGGCATGGCTCTGGTGGCAGCCTGGGCAACCTGGTGGTAGGAATTAAGTGGGTGAATGCGAAAGGAGAGGTAATTGTACGTGATTCGCAGACAGAGGATGGAGTAAAGGAGGTGAGAGCTCTGGTAGGAGGATTGGGTTTGTTAGGGATCGCAACAGAGATCACTTTGCAGCTTCAACCCAACTCTCGAACCATTGTCGAGGTTCGAAAAGGTTTGAAGGATACGAACATGGTGGCAGACGTTAAGAATATTCTAGAGCGTGAAACTCCTCACGTAATCTTGTTCTGGAGGCCCGATTTTGGAACCTACAAAGCCGTGATGTGGACGCAGCTGAGTGACAAGAACCGAGGCGCGACAACATTGCCCAAGGATTACCCAAACGGCAAAATTGGGTACATGGTTCCGGTCGATGATGGCTTCGCTAGTGATTGGAGCGAGCTTTTGGTCAAGTGGGAAGGAGACGAAGCAGAGGAGTCGGCTTCTGCTGACGAGCTGAATGCAGGTTAGTAATGAACCACGACAGTTGCCAATCTATTCGGCCATTGATTTTTGTCCATCTTAGTGCTCATACTTGTAATGTTTTCTAACATATGGTAGGGTTTGGCAGATATATGTAACTTATCTGAGTTTCTTCACGACGTTTCGATATTCTTCGACGCCGATGGGACCCCTATCGAACACGGAATCATTCCAACCAAATATGCTATGGTGGCTGACGACTGCACCCCAAAGTGCTTCTTTCATGTGCACCACATGGGCATGTTCATTGAAGACACCGAGTTTACGATCAAGATGTCACAGCTGGACGAGTGGATCGAGGATGTGAAAAGAATTGTAAAAGCTGAGTTGGTAGAGGCTGAAGCACGATTGAGCAAGCGATACGGCAACGGCAAGGTTAGGCGGTGCATGCCTCCAGGATACTTCTGGTTTCGATTTGGGCAAGGCAACAAGAATCTGTTATCAACAGCTGCCGGCTCCGAAGATGTCGTTCACGTCCAATGGACTCACGTGCACTCCGCTTTGATCCCTAACAAGCTTCCCAAGCAGTCCAGGGTCGCCGAAACGCTGGAGCAGCTCACTCTGTGCAAATACAAAGGACGACCTCACTGGGGGAAGAACAATGAGCGGATCTTCGCACACCCTGATTGCAAAGTGAGGGATAACTATCCAGCCACGAATATCGCAGAAATGCAGGAGATGCAGAATCAGCACGACCCGAAGAGAGTCTTCGAGCCTGAGCTTTTCCAAAATATTTTGCAGAAAACAGGTCCGGAGTACTCCGAGCTGTGTACTCTACATTTCTGGTGCTACTGCAAAGACGACGCCCATTGCCCCGCAGAACATCAGTGTCGGCCTTCTTCCAGCTTCCCAGAGTACAAGACCTGCAAATTGGCATCGTCCGACTACCAGCATGGAGAACTTTGATGGATTCATTCTAGTAGAGAATTTTTTGATAATGTTTAACATAAATAGATAGCTCTTGATTAAATTTGTTGCAGGAGAATACGCAGTGGACACTTCGATCGCAGACAGGGTCACGTCTTGTCACCGAAGCATGAACACTGCAAAATTGTGTACAGCTAGGTTATTTTGAAAATTGTGGCATGTTTTATTGGATCAGAGTAATGAAATGAACTTTGATGCAACAAGTTTTAAAACCCAGTTTGTGATGGTCCTTCAGTGCAAGGATGACTTGTGTGTTGGTTGCCTAGACTGTCCAGCACTGGGAGGTCATGGCATGGTGTTAGCGGACGCTGAATCCCAATTCTCGAGCTGAGCGGGGAGTTGCCGACCCAGCTCAGAGGGATCCAGATCACAGTAGAAATTTAAAATATATTTACATAATGGTTTAATTATGTTCTCAAAAGTTCAAACATCCATTCTGCATTATTTGAGTTCTGCATTTGTTTCTAAATGTTTTGACATGTGAGAATCAACCTGCATGGCAAAACATCTGACAGTTGGCATAATGACATAAGTACAGAATAGTTAAGTTTATGACTACAGCTTAAAATGAAATTAACAGAATTGAGATAAATATACTATTACCTCATTCCCCCAAAATTTCGTGTTGACCATGAATACCATTAGTTATCATAAGAGTGCGTGTATTCTAAATGTAATAATCAACATCGTCTCCTGGTTCTACCATATCCAGATGTGAGATTTCATTAAAATGCTAACTAAAATTCATAATCTAACAGCATGAAAAAGTTAATATCATTAAAAACCATAGTATTCTTGATGGTGTCTTGCTAACTTGGAGCTCATACTCTACGATGGGTACAACCAACAATTGTCATTTTCTTCATTGTTTTCATTATCTAAAAAGCTACGTTAATCTGATGGCATTACTTCGATAGTGTTCTAGAAAATCGTAACTTTTTAATACAATACAATCTTCAATAGTAGAATGTACGACCACCGTTCTAAACCACTACGCTACACCGTAAAAGCAAAGGTTAATTAGTTCAAAGGCTCAACAATACAGGCTTCGCCAAAGTCCCGTCAAGAGAGATAGAAAGCAAACCCAGAACTCACATGTCAAAGTTCAAGGAAGCTAATCTATACTTGGACCTTCTTCATTCAAGCCAAAAATGAATCCAAAATGATCAACGAAGCAGTGGACCAAACTTGGGAACACTAGCTCATTAGGTAATGAAAAGGCTGTTCGGCAGCCAGTCCTTGTTTCCAACCAAATCATCTCCTCTGTACGACTTCACCGAATTCAACACTTCCTACCACTAGAGACTCTTCCATGGCTATTCAGCCACATTCTGAGAATCGGTTGCAAACAACTGACATTGCAGTACTTCTCTTCAACTAGATTACATTCTCGCAAGTAAATTCACGACAAAGAGAGTACATTACAGAGAAAACATGTCACACTACACAAGTTACACCATGGAGCAATAATACAGCACTTCAGAATTCGTGACTATGCTGCCAAGACTCCACATCATTCTCAATGAGATTCAAAACAGCCATCAAAGACATTCCAAACGATAACTCCAGATAATGCCCGTATTGCCAACATATCAATCATCAAAAAATGAGCGCAATAGTAAACACGGATGAGAACGATTCAAAACCGCTTCGTATGATTACAAAATTGGTTGGTGAAGATAAAATGCAGCCATCGAGATAATCTCTTCCTCGAGTAATTGAAAAGCTGCATTAAGGGGAATTTGAGATGGAACTCGACTGCATCCCAAATTCAATGCTGCCCCAAAACCACTCAAACCACTTTCATGCTCAATTCCTCTCAGGGTATGCAAGTTCCACTAGATGCTCTCGACATGCTATTTCCTTACTTTGCCCATAAATGAAGAGAATATTGATTCTACTCTTGGTTTCCAATAATAATAGTCATGTCTAAGGTTGCGGAAACAACTAACACAGCTAAGGCGTGAAATCCCGCTCAGAAGGAAGCGAACCTAACCAGGTTACGGATACTGTTGCAGAGATAGAAGCCGAAATTTCGTACATATTTCATCAGCTGCATTGCCTCTGGCTTACACCACAACCTGCCTGCCCCATCTCCTTCAGACGACTCACATTCCGTAGTCAGGAACGTAGAGTCCCTGCAATCTGTGTAGAATATAGTCCATATCACAAGCACGAAGGGCTGCCTTGAAACTCCCGATGCAGAAACATATGTTTGCTGGAGCTTGAACACACTAGCTTTTGTCAAACAATACCCTAGTCCCTGAAACTTAAAACTTATGACCTAACCCCTACCCCGATCTCTTCCCCGACCCCCAACTCTGCCTCTGCCACCACCTCTACCTCTGCCTCTGCCTCCTCTACCTCCCATGCTTTTCCCCTTAAAATTGGCCTTAAAGCTACTTTCGTCCGCTGTGGAGTCTGCGGTATTTCTCTTTGCCATGCCTTTTCTGCCACCATAGCCGAACTTCGCATCCCTGGCATCCCTACCACGTTGACCTCCACCTCTTCCACCTCTTCCTCCTCTTCCACCTCTAGTAACATTACCTGCACCGCGTCCTTTGCCACCAGCCCTGTCCCAGGGAGAAGCATTTATCTTCTGCTTCTTCAATGGCCTGGTCTCATTGTCCATGTCGAACGGCTCTTCACCATCGGCGAAGCCAGAGTCACTTCGACCCTTCCTCCATTTCTTAACACTCTCGATATCTTTCTTCTTCTGCTGCGTCCGTTCCTTCAGCCTCTCAGCCTGCACTTCCTTACCATATTTCTTCGCCTCCCGCAGCTTGCGACGCTCCTCAGCCTCCTCCATCTGCTTCTTCTGATACAGCAGCTTGTCCTTAATTTTCAGCATGTGTGTGTCACTCTTGATCATCTCGGCATAGTAGTCCGTCGGTCTGAGAAAGGGAATGCCCAACTCCTGCAATTTCAGGTACGCTTCCCGAGCGCCTTCAAGCCCCTGCGTGTAGAACGACATCTCTCGCGTCAAGTCATCATTCACGTCTATCTCGGGACCGTCGTGCTCATACTCCAAAGTCAGCGAGTGAGTCCACTCAACTCCATCCGGCCACCCGATGTCTTCCAGCTTCTCATGAAGAGCGGCAGTGTTGTAAATTGCGTCTCTTCTCGCCTCTGCCACGGGTTTCTCCTCGTCGTCACTCTCCTCCTCGCTCTCTGACAAGTCGACTTCGTCATCAGAATACTCCTTCATAACTTCCAGGGCCATCTCTGCCTAAGCCTCCACAGAGATCAATCACGGGGCTCTCACTGTAAGGAGACCAATAGCCTAAGAAAATATACAGCCGTTCTCACAAGTAAAACGAGATAACCCCAACGGGCGCCTGAGAGAAGCCTCCGAAACTATGTACTAGGGTTTAAGGCTCGACCTGAAGAGCCGCAACGAGGGCTGCACCAGCAGCAACGAGCCTTAAACCCTAATCGATGATCTTCGCTTTCCCACTGCTTCTCCCATATACACTCGCATCCTACGTGTCACGTACCCTCTGTATTATTATTATTATTATTATTATTATATAAATACGAAATGGAATGATTCACTTTAAATTAAAAGCAAGTGAGTCCGAGTGTGGAGATGAATTGCTTTTCAAAAAATGAATGTTCATTCATAAAGCGGAATAGTTTTATGAATGAACATTCACAGGACACGTCAAAAATTGCAAAAAGTAATTGACAAGGTTTTCTTATTTGTATGATAGTTGTTTTCATGATCTGTGTTGTGAACTCGATGTTGAATGTCTCTCTGTAGTTTCCTATTTGAGTGGAGGGAAAGAAACCCAACAGTGAGTAACAGTAAACATGTATGTTATATTACAATCTGGACCAACATTAGTTAATTTCAAAATTAGCTCACTATTAATAAAATAATATATTTTAAAAATAAAAATACAAAGATGTAATTATATAATTATTTTTTAATATGCATATAAAATATAGGGTATTCCTAATGCCACATTTTTTGTTACCACCACAACTTGCAATCTATTTGACACATTTTTCTAGTTTTTTAATTTCAATATATTTTTTAATATTTCTAATATATATATATATATATATATAACTTTAATCTTAGTGATATATATATTAAAAAATATAAATTTATTTTTAATACAAAATATTTAACATTTTAATAATATTAAGTTTTTTGAGAATTTTTTTTATTAAAAAAACTTATTCTTATTTTTAAATATATTGATGTATGTATATATATATATATATATATATATATATAATGAAACAAAATCATACATTTTACTTAGCATTGAGAAAGGGTATAGATGGTATGTAGAGCATGGAAATTGTTGTGATATTAGCAAAAACTATGATGGCATTAGCATTATTCAAAATATATATTTTATATTTAATATGAAATTTTAATGTCATACAAATTTTGTTTCACTATAAGATAGAATAGATTTGTATTGCAAATTTCATGAGAAATTACAAATACTTTGTACATACTAAACACCTTATACAAAAGCTTTTAAATTCTTAACTTTAAACTTTAAAAGTTGATTACCAAATACATTACTAAGATGAAAGCATATATTTTTAATAAAAATTTAAACTATAAAATTACATGATATAATATTTTAAATTATTAACTATTTAAAAATAATACAAAGATCAATGTTGTTTTTAGAAATAATATTTGAAATCAAAATATAATATTATATATTAGAAAAAATCCTTCTTTTGATATATATATTTATATATATACATATACATAAATTAATTATGGAGCATTTACATAAAAGAGAGTATCTATAGAAATAATTATAAATAGAGGCACAAATTGAAGATAATTGCAAAGAGAGGTGCATCCACAAATATAATTACAAGTATAGACACAAATTGAAGAGAGAAAAAAAAAAAAAAAAAAAAAAAAAAAAAAATCAAAGAGAGGCATGATTTTCCTCCTCCTCAAATATGATTCTTCTCTTCAAAAGAGGTCTCTTTGCATCTCAATTTGCCTTCTTGCTTGCTATAGTTCTTCATCATTGTTTCTCTTCATGTGGCCCAACAAGCTTGTCATTGTTGCTTTTCTTTGCCATTGTTGCTTCTTTTCATCATTGCTACTCTCTCTTCATTATTGCATTTTATTTTTTTATTTTTTTATTGCATTGTTTTTCTTTATTGTTGCTACTTTTCTTTATTATTGCATGTATAGTTTGTGAACATTGAAGATTATTAAGTACTATGATCTTATTCATCTTAAAAAGCTCTATCATACTCGGCGCTATCCATCATAAGTATAAGAATTGTAGCTCTTTTCTCACATTTTAAACATCTAGTTTGGTTTTTTGGATTAATCTTACTACAACTATAGAAGATTTTTTTCATAATCATCATATTTATTATATATTGGATAGAGGCACTGTAATACCATTAACTACCACCATTTTTGCATCAATAGGAGATACAACAATAACTTGGATAAGATAATTATATTATTAACATATAGAGATAGGTAATTGGAGATATTTTTGAGAAGTTTCTAGAAGTTTTTAGAATTGGGGCAATGTTGGTAGTTCATATAGGGCCCACTATGGAACATCCTAAAAAACTAAGGGCGATTATATAGATAGGGCCGACATCTAAAATCTTGTAAAAGAGCGGTTATTTTAGTAGGATCTATCATTAAGAACATTCTAGAAAGCTTCAAAATGTATAGATAAAGTATAAATAGGATTGACCAAGGCCATTTGGGACATTCGGCCAAGTATGGCTTTAGTCCCTTTTTCTCAATAAAGTTTGGTTTGCATTTTCTATTTTGTTCTATTCTATTTCCGTTTGCCTTGTTTTGTATTTCATGTTGTATTCTATTTAGTTTTGTTCAATTTTTTTTGGTCTATTTTGTCCTACTTTGTGAAGGGATTTATGCTGCTATAAATTGGAAGGGTTTTTAAATCTTTAAGAGAATTCAATCTCCTTTCATGAGGTGATGATAGAATTGTAAGTTGGTCTAATATACTAATGATTTCCAAATGGTGCTATAGAGAATATCTTTTTCCAACTACTTTCAAATTGATAAACATGACATAGAACTTTAAATTCCAACTCAGTGTGTTAATTCAGATCATGCATCGTCCTCTACACTTGCATTATTGTCACCACAAAATAATATTGACTTAGAAGTAATCTTCTTCCCAATGAATAGTCCCTCACTCAAAGAAATATGAACAATACACTATTGCAATCACACTTTCAAATCTCGATGTGAGGAATAGGTGTCCTCTCAAGTAAGTCCAGTCGTTAGTATTAGTAAAAATTTTACTTGCCAAAATAGACTTGTGAATCATTAAATTGACTCACTTAGATATTTAGCATAAAAAATACACTTATTATGCTTAAAATCATAGATCTTATGAGTCAGTAGTAGCAATTTTAGGAAAAAATAGAAAATAGATGGCTAATAATAAATATACAATTTGAGATAGAATTTAGTAAGAAAAATTCTACAAAAATATATTTTTAAATAAGATAATATTAGATGAAGGACCAAAAGAAGTAATCTTTGTAAAAAAAAGGAAAAAAATTTACTTATTAATAGTCTTTAAAATATATATATATATATATATATATATATAAAATAAGAAATAAATAAATAAATAAATAAAAATTAAAAGAAAAGTCAATATATATATATATATATATATGTAATATGTAATAGAAAGAAGGTATAGAAAAGCAGAAAAGAAAGTAGAAGAAAAGAAGAAAAAAAAAATAAAAAAAGAAAATAAAAAATAAAAAATAAAAAAATAAAAAAATAAAATGAAAAGGATATAAAAAAAAAAGAAGAGAAGATGATGAGAAGGATGAGAGGTTGACCGAGAATGGTGGCAACCTCTTTGTCAATAGGGATTTTGCCATCTGAATCCTTGACTTTCTTATTTTTTCTATTTTTTCCTATACAGATCTGAGCTCTAATTGAGATGGAGTTCACCCTTTTTATTTTTTTGACATACATGTGTATGACATGCATGTATTGTGTGGAGTTTGGTGAAGCTAAGGTATTGCAAAAATTTAGATGTTGCATTGTAATCAAGCTCTCTCTAAAAAGTTTCTTCTTGTATTTGATAGAGCTCCAAAATTTGTGGAGGAAGGCGTTGATTTGAGTTTTGTAATCATTATTTTTTGTTAGATGTTTTGAGAAGGTGCTGCAATGTAACATTACGTCTATAAGTTTTGTGGTATAGAATGGCTATAAAGGCCTTTTCTTTATTTTTCTTCTTAATATAGATTAGAAATTTGTTTTTTAGTGTATTCTTCATCAATCATGTTGTTGTGGCCATCCCAATTGGTAAGATTGTTGTTAATTATTGAACAACAAACTCCAAGAAGCTCTCGATGCCCTTCACTATTTTACTTGGAGTAGGCAGTTAGAGGCAATAGAGTGTTATTTTTTATAACATTGTTTTAAATCTTGTAATTCCTTGATATTAAGGTGGTTGCATTGTAGTGTCTAGCAGCATGCTACCATGCTAGTTGTTGTTATTGTATTAAGTCGCAAGTTATTTCATGGCCAGGTTATGTTGTTTATGTATTTTTTTTTTATTTTTTTATTTTTTTATTTTTATTTTTTTTCTCAATCTCATTTTTGTCCATCTTTGATGTACAAAAAAATTAGCTCAAGCATCATATCTTATTGCAAAGGTTCCATATGTTGCGGTTGTTGCTCTGATTCAATTTTTGATCAATGATAGAAGAGCAATGTACTTATAGGTATCCTACTGCAGTACACAACTATAATAGTAGTGATGGTTTTTCTTTCCATAAAAAGGTAAGATGTCATGAATGTTGTTCCGTGCTGCTGAAAAAATAACTTGTAGCATGAATGTTCATAGTAGAGGATTTATTGAAATTCATATCAAAAGCTCGCCTTCAATTCAAAACAAATTCTTATTGATTTGGTATTAGTCCAATTACGGATGCAAGTATTGCTTTGTACACCAAGCTGCTCATAACATTGGCATGTAGTCCTCCAATACCTCTATCAATAGAATAGAAACATTAATGGCAACTAAAATTCATGAATGATATGAAATTTTTGAAGTTCTTGCGACAAGAATCAAGTCAAGAAGGGCGCTTATGGCACATCATCTACATAAGAGCTTGCAAGCAAATACTAGATTGGGGCTTTGTCCTTAGCTACTCAATATCCTTTTGAAGGACTTGATAATTGACTACATTTCTTTTCTTCAATGCTAAATCTCATCCCATTGTAGTTTGAAGTATAATATATTTTATAGTAGAACATGCCATTGTTGTATTGTGGTTCAACTATCATATGAAAATAATGGATTTATATATTTAATACACAATATATTAGACAACATGGTAAAAGCTATGTTAGTGGATTTTTGTTGGTTATAGAATGTGGATAGATTACTACCTCAAAAAGAGGTTGTATAAGAAGACTTCTATT